CAACCAGTGTATATGTTTGTGGAGGCCTGAAATGTATTTAAAAAGGCATGCCAAAACACAGAGGTTTGAAAAGACAGAAGCAGTGCGGTTCTGCCTCCTTGCATTTACTGAAACTTCAGGATGAGCAAAAGGAGGAAGCAGTAGCCAAGATGACAGACCAAAGTCCTTCTGAAAAGGGTACAACATATCTAAGTCCAGATGTCAGAACCAGACACACAGATAAGGTTTACTGCACATTTTACAAGTATGCAGAAATACAAGGCTCCTTCCTTCTGTGACTTCTTACTTTGGTACAAAAAGGGCAGATTTGCAGATGTAGCTGCCATTGACAGAAAATGCAAGGTCAAGTTTACCTACAAGTAGAAGAGGCAAATGAAGTTAAAGAAGCTTGAATAAAGAGGGAACTTAGTGGAGAAGTACCTAAAGTAAACATTTCTTGTCCAAGTGAAACACTTCAGGCTTAGAAATATTCATGGCAGCAGTTTGGAAACAAACCTTTGTATTTCAAGACACAAATGGCAGAAATCACTGAAAGGTTGTACAGCTGAGTATCAGGGACACAGAGGTGTCACTGTTAGAGGCATCATCATGGCTGGGCTTCACGAACAAAGATTTGGGGAGGGCTCTACCCATGTTTGTTACAAGCGCGTTGGTGGCTAAAAAGGCCAGTAAAAGATAGACAAGTCCAGTTGCAGAAGGCACAGCAAAAAGACTCCTTAGGAGATATATTCTGCAAGACACGATTCCTTCTGCGTTGTCTTTTCTCCTCAAGAGTGATCCTGCGTGCATTCTCAAAGGCATCAGCAGTGTTATAGATAGTATGTCTCCAGACCTCCCGATTGGAGGCCAGAGTAGACCAGTTATGTTGATCAATATGGCCAAGGCTGAGATGTTGTTTCAGGGAGTCCTTGTATCTTCTCTTCAGGGCTCCTCTCATGTGGCAGCCGGTGGCAAGTTCACCATAAAGCAAGATCTTAGGAAGGGGGTGGTCCATCATCCTTGAGCCGTGTCCTGCCCAGCGCAGCTGTGTTCTCAGCAACATGGCCTCAATACTTGTGATATAGAGGCATAGGTGAGAAACATAAATACAGGTTCAAAATAGAAATTAAAATTTAATTTGGCAGTGAGAAGGGAACATACAGGGTAGGTCTTCGCTAGTACTTCATGGCAGAAAATGAAAGGAAGCTGGAATTGTGACTGCCAGTTACCTACATAACCAGATACCTTTGGATTTACTGTGAGGGTGGTGAGGCACTGGCAAAGGTTGCCCAGAGAAGCTGTGGATGCTCCATCCCTGAAAGTGTTCAAGGACAGGGTGGATGAAGCTCTGAGTATCCTGGTCTAGTGGAAGGTGTCCCTGTCCATGGCAGAGGGGTTGGAACTGGATGATCTTTAAGGTCCTTTCCAACCCAAATCGTTCCATGATTCTATGGTCAAATGATCCAGTGATTCATATTGAGCCATGAAAAAAGTGACCATCATATGGAAAGGATATTTACTGGCTGAACAACAGAGTTTTAAATTCTCCCACCAAAATGAAGCAGAATAAAAATAGCAAAGGTAACTACATATATCAAAAGCTTTTTAAGAACATCAGAGGCTGCATCATCAGCCAAACTGGCTGAGAAAGGAAAGGTAAATGAAGGAAAGCAGTCAGTATCAAGTCTAAAGAGAGCTTTTAAAGGAGGAAAAGTAGGAGATCTTAGCTGGAAAAGGAAATACAAAAGGCAGAATGAACTGACAGCAAATAGTAATATTGGAAATAAAAGATAATGACTGCAAGCATGAAATGCAGACATAAAAAGGCTGCCACAAAGTCATTTTTGAAGAGCATATGATACTGGACATTTTAATTTTTTTTATTCTTTTCTGACTCTCACTCTTGCATATGTGCTCTGGTCTTCCCAATGCTATGATTTGAGGCTAAGGTTAGGCTAGACTGTCTTCTTAAGGTTTGGCTTTTTTTTTCTATATAAATTTGAGAACTTGGTCCCACTCATGTTTAATTGGTATCAAAACTTTTTCATGGCTTCAGCAGTAAAGCATCAGTTCAGAACAAAAATTGATGCAGGTTTACACCATCCTTCCCCTTCACAAAACGTGTATCCCACCTCTTTAGAAAACTCTGTGTATTTCCCTAATGGTCAGATTTGTAGATGTGCCATAGTTGAGGCAAATCAGATTTTAAATGTCTGTTTTCCACAGCTTGATTACTTTGAAAATAGGTGCAACAGGTTTTTGTTGGCAGGAAGTTACCCAGGAAAGGGGACACACCTCAGAGAGAAACAAGTATGACCAAAAAAGCTATCACACTGATTTTATACATCTGTTACTTTCTACAATTTCACATGATGTTTATATGAAACCTTCCGATCAACTTCACTCACATTTTCCATCAGTGTTTGCAAGCCAACATCCTTTGGAAGAACACACCTTTAATGATCACTGAATTCTGAAAAAACAACAGCACAGAGATTTACCAGTTTGATGGGAGTAAATTAATGGTACTGTAATATTTCTAGAGGGAAACAAATCTATTAAACAGAGAGCATCCAGAGATATCTCTTCAATTTTCAGCCTTAACTACACACCAGACAAATGGCCACTGCTGAACTACAATGTTTTCCCCTACACTGATCTAATAGAAGACCAGTTTGGTCTTAAATGTGTTGCAAACAAACTTTACTTAAGTTTGTTGGCAAATGGCAACCCCTGGGAGAAACCTGCCCTTCCGTGATCAGCAATAAATGCAGGGAGATTTGATTTCTGTATCTGACAAAGAGATAAAGTGGTTAAATTCATTTTGGTGAGTAATTTCCAATGCTTTACAGGGCAGAAAAAAATCTTTTCCAAAACTAGTTACTTACTGACAAGCTTGAGAGGGTGAAACAAGAAGAGTGACAGAGATGAAAAGGTGTTTACTTCATCGGAGAAGTCACATTGCTAAATGCTAACCACAGTGGCCTTAGACAGAAACCGCACATGTACAGATCTGGAGAATGTCACAATCTGGTATTGCTAAGAAGCCTCAGCTCTGCTTTTGCAAAAGCTTGAAACATTAGTAGATTCAGTGCACATTCATAATTAGAATTGTAAGAAAGCAGCTCTGGAGTGGCTTTAATGTGTTCACCCATACAAAGCAGCAGCTATAAATGCAGATGAGAACTTGGAGGGTTTTCAAGTATTGTAGCAAAAGGAAATGGCTCTTTGGAGGTGGGTCTGTAGAAGAAAGCCACGTATGTCTTGTGGACTTCATGCCTCCAAGCAACCTGAAATTTGTCTGCAATTTAAGCACCATCTATTAGCACATAACTTCCTTTTCCCTTTAAACCAGTTCCTTATTGTTCTGCTCTGGTAACAAATGCCACATCCAAACTGTGAGAGTGTGGAAGGTGGAAAACCATCTCAAGAGATGTGGAAGGAGTGAAAGCAAGTGATGTTTCCCCTGGTGGGGGCTGGTGGTCAGAGAAGCAGTAGGGAAATGTGGCCCAGTAAAGTGTCTCAGAAGCAGCCAGGAGCAGATTTTAGGAAGAGAATAGCCCCTTTTCTTACACAATGATGTTACCCTCAGTGGGACCACCCACCTTCTGGCATGGCTGTGGAAAAGATATGGCTTAATAGTCTCACTTTCATATGTCAGGGTGTGATTCCATTACACCACCTTCATCAGCAAAGCTGGTTTAAGGTGTTGTCTATTCTCCCACTAGCCACTTCTTTTTAGTGCTGTGTCACAGCTTACCACTGCTCCAGTGGTGCTGATGAAGATATTTAGAAAGTCATATTGTGTACTGGATCACTGAAGAACAGTTAAAAAAGAAGGTCAAGAAAAAAGATCAGTTCACTGATCTAGTTTATAGGCCCACAGAGAGATACATCACCACAACTGAAGGGATTAAACTCAGGCACTGTGACGGGAGTCTTTTAAATTGACTTTGCTGATGGAGAAAATTTAAGAGGGAAATATATGTGCACCCCGAGACTGGGGAGGAAGGGAGGAGCTGTACCTGGCATACTCTAGCATTTAAAACAGTTATTCTATTTTTCACCTCTCCCCAGCCCTCCACCCACACAGTCCCATGTGAACAACCTGCTGAAGTCCTGCTCCCTCTTTGTGGTTCTTGCTTCAGCTTCAGAAAAAGAGGAACATGTTTTTACTTTCTTAACACATGAATGACAAGATCTGCAGCTGAAAAATAAAGCATTAACATACAGCATCTCTGTCATTTGGGATACCATTAGAGGCACGCATCTCTACCCTTCGGTTAAGTAGTGCAGTGAGTATATCTATCACATGCCAGAATCCCTCCTTTCCATAAAATGGGAGTGACACCATCTTGTAGAAGGGACCTTTATTGGGGAAGCAGGTTATCAAACAACTGTCCTCTAACTGAAGTCATGGAAGTATCCTCAAAAACACACCTAAATGAAAACTTCTGTCCCAGGCAGGAGAAAACTCTTCTTGGAGCTTGTGAGTTCATCCAGTCCCTGAGATGAGATTACAGCTCCATGTGGCATGGTTACAGATACCACATTCCTGATCTGACATACTAATAATAATGGCCCAGAGCTCTTTACCTCCAAGAGGTACCTCTGACATTTACATGGAAGCACAGTGCTAAGCAACAGACATTTTTCAGTTCATTATATCCCCTTCCAAACCTTGTTTCCTGTAGCCCTGTTCTCTTACTGCTCACTATGTTCTGTTCAGCTTTAAATTCAGAAGAGCTGGCATCCAACACCATTATACAAAATGGCCAACAGGAATACAAGCCATCCCTCAAAAGTATCTTTGTCCCAAAACTGAGATTTGGAATGTGAGTTTCCTGCCTTGGGCCTACCCAGACTTGTACAATATGCCAGCAGAAAACATCCTGTTACCTTCCTTTGAGAATTATGGTAACTTTTTTTTTCTCCTGCAGAAAACAATTGTTTTCACACAATCTGTTACACCTTAGGTTCTTCAGCAAGTACAATGCCTGCAATTTTAGGCTTGTCTGCCCTGGCCTCACAGCTCCCTAGTTCAACAATTGCTAAGGAGCTTTTATTAACATCTCAAATACCTCCTTTCCCTTCTCCCTTTCTCAGAGGGGGTAAGAAATGCTTCAGATTCTTGAGTTTAGAAGAGCTTGGGGGCATTCTTCTTAGCGGAAGATAAACTGAAAGGAGAACAGCATCCCTCCTCAGCCCCTCTGTCACCCTGCACCTGTCAGGCTTATGACTTGCCAGGTTTGGGTGAGGTACTGATAAAGGAAGCATACTTTAAAGAGACTGACAAATCCATCTAAATGCTGTTTAATTCATCTTGATAAGAAAGGGCTGTGGAGAGCTTTATGCCACCTTTGCTTCTCTTTTCCTTCTGTAGTTCTCAGGCTGGGCCATGTTTTCACAAAACCAAGATTTCAGTAGCAGAGTGACTGTACTATTTGAAAAACAGGACTAAGTTCAGAGAATACATAAAAGTGATAGCATTTAACTACTTCACATTTTTTATTCACTGTTTTAATTGCTTTTCAGCATCAGTCACCTTTAACAGACCCCTAAACAAAAGGCATCTAAATGGATGTTCACTTCCCTCTTCCTCTCCCAGTAGGAATTTAGTCTCCCATTTTTTCCCCCCTCCTTACAAAAAACCATGAGAGCCCCCCTACATTCAGCTTGCTGCCTTTCCTGAGGTTACTGTGTGAGCTTTTTCTCCACTAATGGTGCCTCTCAGCTTACCCCATGTTCGCTGTTTGTTTTTGGGCTCAGCCTGCAATAGTAATCAAGGCCAAATATTTGCTCAAATGAAGTGGCTCTGTGGTTCTCATTCCAGGAAGCTGGCTGAGGACAAAGTGAAACTAGCTTGAAACACACTGGTATGCCCAAGAGATGCTAGGAGCAAGGGATTTTTCCAGAGCTGTAGAAAGTCATCCAGATTCTCACTGTAGCTTTGTTGTGGGAACTGCAGGGGAACTAACTAATTTATAGCCTGCCCCAATGAAAGACACCACTTTTATCTGCCAGAAACCAAAGTCAGTCCAGTTAAAGCCAAACTTTAAGACGGTTCTGTTGGGCTGCAACCAGAAAGAAGACCCAGTGTGAAGTCACACAAGCATTCATTCTCCCTGTTCTGCAAGGCTAAAGCCCACATTTTTCTGATAAGAGGGGGCTATATCCTTTGTGCTTGCGAGTCAGTGGCAGGTCTTATAAACACACCCACAGATTCTCAGCCTAACATATTGCAAGCTCTGTGCATCTGGAGCCAGTGCATGCTTTGCTCAACAACCCCCCTTTCATTTCTGCCAAGATTCCCTCCCACATTTGGGACTTTTTTCCTGCTCCCTTGAGAGCGTCCTCAATTCTCCCAGCTCCTCCAGCCTCCCACTGTCAGAGTGGACTGTTCTGTACAGCTTTCCTGGTCTTCTCTGCCTTTGGGAACATATGGACCAGTGCAGGAAGCTGGGCACAAAAATCTGTGCATTACCCTTATTCTCAGCCCTGTGTTTGGGTCAGGTGGATGGACCAGAAGACTGAACTGACAGAGCTGACACAGAAAGCAGAAAATCTCCAGGATCTACTGGGGCATTAGCTTTGTAGGATGTGAGAAGTTACCAACAGAGATACATGACGTGCCATCACTGTGGGAAGCCACCTTTTAGATGAGGTGCAGACAAGCTCCATTTAACACAGTCACCTTCTTTCCCATTTATCAGACCATCATTTCCTGGGAATGTTCTGGAACAAGGAAAGCAATTCACTGAGCATCCTGTGTGTTTTCATAACACACCACCAATTCCTGTCAAAAATCAATAGCTCACTGAGGAGTAGCAGACTACTGAGCCACCCAGGCTAGCACCTGCTCTGCAATATTTCTCAGCTACCAAGAGACAGGAAAGCATTAGAGGAATCAAACCCACAGCACAGAGGTGCTCAGGGACTTAAGGACTCCTGAAATTCCTCCATGTGAGGTAGCAACTTGTTTTGGTCCGGGGTGTAAGGAGTTCCTGCAAGCAGTGCTGCCTTCTTGGACTGGTTCAAGGACAAAAAAAAAAAAGATTTTCTGTGGAATAGAATATTTGGACTTTGAGTTGCAAACACAAGCATGACACAGATCATAAAACATGAAATAAGGTAGCTCTGCTCTCTTCTACACAGTGGGGCAAGGCATTTAACCTGTTGTAAATCCTGTCCACTCCCTCCTTGTCTTTTCTGTTTATACATGGAGTTAAAGCATCCTTAAGCCTCTTACTACTCTACCACTCTCCTGATTACAGCCACATCTAACACTGAACTTGAAGCACACACCTGTACGTACGTTTGCGGCAAATTGCGAGAGAGTGCAGAGGCCTATAATTCTTTGACTCTTTATAGAGGAATGTACGTGTATAAAAGCCTTTTGAATTTTCATAAGCCTCCCCTTAGATGTGGGATAGCAAAATACAAAAAGATGAAAACAAGATGCTCACCCGATGATTCAGCTTTCCTGCAAAGTTTCTCCTACCAGCCATCATAACCCTGAAAATAATCATCCCAGCCCCTTTTTTCCTGTGGGCTACAAACACATCAGCAATGAGGATAATAATTTAAGGGTTTTTGTTCCTACTAGGAATTCATGAGAAAAAACTTTGCATTACATGGAAAAAAAAGAGTCATATGCAGAAAAGGAAAGTATGCATATGTTTCGTTTTCTTACGTTTTGGTTTTTGGAGTGTTTGGATTTTTTTGGTTTGTTTCTTTTTTTTTTTTTTTTTTATTTGGTGGCTGTTGTTGTTTAAGGAATGCTAAATCTTTGCTAGGGGACATACCAGCTGTCTCCAAGCTCTTTTTATGGTGATCTCTCTTGTACCTTAATTGAGAAAGCAGGGCGTGGAAGTTTCAACAAAGGCTGCCCTTTGTAGTGTGTTAATTAGGCACAGGAGTTAACAAAACCCCTCAGTTATAAACAATTACCTTTCCCCAGGCTTACCTTCATTTTCATGCTATTGCATTTTTACTAATTTTCTGTTAGATTTCCAAAGTGGACAAGACTAATTTCTAAAATTAGTCTCATAATTAGCAAAGAAAAGAAAAAAAAAACCAAGCAGGAAAATATATAAAGCAGGAGGGAACAAAAAGGTATAATTAGAAACACTTAAAGATGCCTTTTTTTGTGCTTCTTCAGGATATGGGAGACCAAGGTCTTATAAGTTCACTGTAAAGTCCCCTTTAAAACTAAAAATCTGGATTATGGTTCCCTGGAATTGACTCCTGGGTGTAAATGCCTGGGGATGGGAAAGAATGTGGTTAGGGTTTGTGTGCCCTGAAATGATTGCTACCCTCACCCCCACAGAAGGAGAAAACAGAGGAAAGAGAGAGAGGCTGTAATTCCTCCAGACCCTCTCCATCCGTTTCATTTGCAAAGCAAAGTTTGCTTTAAAAAGATTATGGGCCCTGCTTGGCCCATAGGACATCTTGCCTGCTGGTATCCTGGCTGGTTCCTCAGCATGTGCTGAGACTCTGAGACACACAACAGCTGGGAAGGGAGCGGCCTCTGCCCTCCTCCCTGCCAACAGTTTGGTCCTGATGGCTGTGACCTCACCTCTTGGCACCAAGCTGTCCCTGGCACTGGCTTCCCTCCTCCTCCCTCTGCCTCCTGGCAAGGGAAGGAGGAAACCCAGGGGCTTGGGGCAGCCCTTCTGCCTCAAAAGGAGGCAATCCCCATAATGGAAAACTGTACTGTAAGGACAACTGCCATCTTAATGCTAAACATTTTCCACCCTGCACTGCCATGGAACCTTTCACACTGCTGCTCTCTAACCTTGTTTTCCAATGAATTTCTGGAGAAAGGTCAAGCAAGGCCCTTGAACTCATGGTATTGGGAGAAGCACATTATGATTCAGTCTCCGGTCAGCGTCACACTTCTCTTGTCACCTGTGATAGTGCTGTTTGCCCAAGACCTTTACAATGTAGATGGCCCCAGATATTCAAGCATAAGTTGCCTTTGTGTCCAAGGAGCTGCCCAGAAAGCAGGGGAGCAACATCTCTGCGGGACTGGGGAGATAGTAGTTCAAGCTACATTCCCGATGGGGGCTGTGTCTCCCAGCCGGCCAGCAGACCTGGAAAAGACTGTCTAGGGGAAAACTCATAATTCTTAGTGGCAGCTTCCCAAACATAGCATTCTTATTGGGAAATTGCCTCTTCTCTCTGGAAGAGACTGTGGATAACCTAGTAAAGATAGGCATTCCCCCCTTATTACTGCACGTCAAACCACAGTCCTCCTTTCTCACTGTGTTTCAGTAGCACAGACTGATTCTGAAGCCAAGATCAGCTCCTGCTACTTTCCCCAAAGAGTTTTCAAGCTCCAACAGACCAGATAAACTCATTGTGAGAGAGCAATCAGAGATGAAGAAAGGCTGAGACTGGCCTCAATGCCTGCAGCAGGTCCCAGGCAGGAGACAGGTACAGGTACTACTGTGACTGACCAGGCAAGTCAGGAAACCGAGGACCCCATGGCAGCACAGAGCTACTGCACGTAAGATGGAAAATTTTTAAACTGCTATAGATGGGGCCCACAGGAAACTTTTGGGAAGTGTGTCTAAGACAGGGTCTAAGACAGGAACCAAGAGAGTCAGTGTTTAAAACATGCATTGACAATGAATTGCTTCATTACTTAGAGAAAAATTGAGAAGGGGGAAGGAGCAAAACTCAACCACGTCAGGAAACAGGCAAATAATTGTCTGATGGATACACCACATCTCCTGATTGCTGGTCTTGTACTTTGCTGCTGCTCAGCCCACTCATCATGATAAGCTTCTCCTTCCAGGACACAGCAAGGTCTACCCTACATTTAGGTACAGATCTTACACCCTGGAAAAGAAGCAAACAGAAACATCTTGCATAGGGCTGCTTGCTGTCTCTACTAGTGTCTCATTTTGCCCTGCTTTACTGTTTTGCTTTCTCCTCCAACACCTTCCCTTGTCCATACACTTTCAATTGAAGAAGGAAAGTGCCACCCTTCAAACTGAAGAAAGTTTTGGCCCATGAGCTGCTGAAGAAGGATGTGTGAAGATAGATGTGTGAACTGCAACCCCTCTCCTGCAGCACTTTGTAAAGCAAGTGAGCAGTCCCAGGCAGGAGGAGGCTTTCTGCATTTTGAACAGGCCAAGGTGAGGAGTCGTGCAGGGCAGAGCACCCTGAGAAATTGGACCTCGTGACTTGGACTTGCACATCCATGAGCAGAGACATGGGAAATGCTGCCTTTCTGGAGCTGAAGTGGGGAGGGGAGTGCTGGAAGCTGCAGACAGGAAGAGCCTGACTTGGGAAAAGCAAAGCAGGTAACAATCATACAACTATTTATGGCTCTTTTTCCTTGTGACAACTGCAGCCTTATAAGGGCAAGAGCGCTTTACTCGGGGCAGAGCTGCGGAGGTGGAGCCTCCAGGGGCACTCCTGATGCTTGCTCCCAGGCTATCTGCCTGCACAAGCCGCTGACCTCCTTCCCGGGAAAAACCCTGGGAACCCTCGCTGAATCCAGCTGTTCAAATTTCAAATTACAAAACGCCTCGGCTCCTCTCCCCTTTTCCCCATACCTCCTACTAGCTGGAGCTGTGGTGAAGCAGAAATGTCTGCGTTTGTAATGTTGTGGGTATCTGGGAGCAGTGGGTTGGAGAGCCCCCCGCAGCTGACGTGGGAAACCTATTCCCATCTGGTTGTGATAGTACTGAGAACTGGAAGAAAAAAGAAAGGAAAAACAAACAACCCTCCTCTCGACCCCCCCTCTCCCCCAGTGTTGCTTGTCGGCCACTAGTGAGTGTGTGAAAGGCTGCAGCTGGCAAATCTGGTGCACAAACTCTGTCGCAGATCCTTCTGCCTATGGTTGTGGTTTGGAGTCCCCCACTAACTCCGACTGAGCTTCCAGTGTGTGTATGTTGGGTTCTTACACATCTCAACCCTGTCCAATCCACCCAGCTGAACTATGCTGGAAATGGGTTGCAAATAAAACTAAACATAAACATGCTAAAAATGTCACTGTCATCAGATAAGGTTGCTATGTACATAAAATTCCTGACACGAGTTCATTAGACCAAGGACATGAAAAGTTAAGCCACATGCATATATTGGCTGGAATGGGGAGGAGGGTATGATGAGCAAGGATTCAGCCTGAAGCTTTATTTTTTTTGGCCTTCTAGCAACCCATAGCCATCACCCTATGTGTGTGACTCAATTTCTCACAATAGGAAGGGAAAAAGGAAAAAAAAATAACAAATGTTACAGCACCTACTTCCTTCTGTGAACACAGGTGTGATTTGGGAAGGAGCAGGAGGCAGGGTTAGCCATGTCACTTGCGAGCTGTGGAAGGTTGGCTTTCCAGAGGACAAAGCACATGCTGATGAAGCCTTTACTCAGCAGTCTTTACCAAAACCAGTCATTTTTAGCACCGCAGGAGGCACTTATCTCTGCATTATAAGAGGGGAAACAGGCACCAAGAGCTTCCTCTATGATAAACTTCTTGTAGTTGTGGCTATGTTCAACTTGCAGAAACATGGTATTGCCTGGGCTAGGTGCTCCCACATGGACTTACCAGTCCTCGGACACTCAGGTTTGCAGAAGTGCCTGAATGCAATGAACTTCCCTACCACATACTGAGTTGTTATAATTCTCAAGCCACATATTTTAAGAGAGGGGTAGAAGCTGTGAGAGGGATTTCAGGTGATCCCCCCCCTCTCCTGAGCTTACCACAACAGCCACCCTTTGGCTGCTTGCAGGCTGGCTGTGGCAAAAGAAGGAGAAGCTGTGCACCGTTTGCCCCAGGATGAGCAACATGGGTTAGATTAAACTGCAAAGATGGAACATCATGTCCTCCTCAGCCTCACCAAGGTGAGGGTTGGGGCTTCACGGCTATGTGAAACCAGCACAAGTCTGAGCAGCCTCTGAAGGAGGGCTGTTCTCCTTCCTCCTCTGATATTCATACTACCACTGCTAGTCTCGTATGACAGCCAGCTGATCCAGCTGGAAACAACCTTGAAACTAAAGAAAGGCAGATGTTTCTAGTTTGATAATTTCTTTGATCCATTTGACTACCTGGTTGCTACGCAGGTGCTGAAAATGTACAGTCGTGGGAAGCCAGACACAAGCTGCTCAGAAACTATGAGGGAATTGAAGCTCAGGAGAGGCCAGAAAGCCTCCTTTCCAGAAAGATCATGAATGAGTGGAATTCAGATGTGTGGCTGGTCACAGGGGTTCTTTTAGCATCCAACAGGCAAGTGCTTGCAATCAGTATCTGAATGAAGGGATAAATTAAGGGATGTCTATTACCAAAACAGTAGAATTACCAAAAGCACAGCATCATTTAGCATAGGCGGTAATTTTGAGGTCTCCAGATCAACATCCTGCTTGGAGCAGGACCAGTATTAGTGTTGGATCAAAGTGCTCAGGGCCAAATCTCTGAGGATGGCAAATCCACCATCTCTGTTCTTGCCTCTTGTCCTTTCACTGAGCACCTCTGCCAATCTGTGTTTACCTTTCAAATAACCCCCACTTGGGTGGTAGAAGCCAGCAGTTACATAGTCCCCATCACAAGCCTGCGTGCCCCTCTGCAAACCAACCCACCTCCCTCAGCCCTGCTCATGTGTCAGGTGGTCCAGCCCCCTTAGTCAGCTTTGTGCTCCTCCCCAGAGTCGCTGCAGTTTGTTAGTGTCCCTCTTGCAAATGTTAAGGATCCTCCTGAAGGAGCCTGAGGAATGGTCCATGTCACCTTCTGGAGGAGAGCAGGTGTCTCTGTCTGCTTGTAGAAACTCGAGTCTTTGCGAGTGTGTTTGTTGGGGTGGGCATGCACAGAACCAGCATCTGTCAGTGCGTGTGCACAGTGCCACACAGGGAGGCCGTGCATCCGCCTCTCGGGTAAACAGTGATTCAGAAGTTTAGGTCATAAAAATGGATGCAAATTCACTCAAGTCCCTGGAGCTGTGGTTCCTGTGAGCAGAGCTATACTGCAGGTATGCTGTGTGAGTGCCACCTGTATTGATTTCCAGGGACATCTGTGCACTGTCCTTCTCCTTCAGCATCTCTGCACCTCAGCAGGCACAGATTCTCCTTCCCATTGTCATTGGTGAAAATGTTTACAATCAGGTGTAAATCTGGTCAGGTAGCTTCTTGATTACTCACTTCTCAGCTATTACTCTGCTTCAGTAACCCTGAAGCTCAGGAGACAGGGTGTACCAGGCAGTAGCTAGGACTGGAAGACAACAGAAATCATGTTCTGCTCTGGTGAAGTTGCTGGAGGGCAGTGCATCACTGCTGTGATGTCATGAGCATGAGGCACGGCCTTCAGAGCATAAAAAAGAATACCCTTTACTCAGTGGACCAACAGGTGATTTCAAAGGATGCAAGCGAAAAGGGAGACCTCAAAACCTTTACCTGCTTGCTGTCCTGAGGATATGGTGGGTAAAATGATGTGTAACTGTGAATCAGCGGTGCCTTTTGCAATATCAGGATTGTGGCATGATGAGCAATCCCTCTGAAGTCTTTGTAAGCCTTGTTCCTGTGGTGCAGACGGACTGGGCAGGGTAGAGCCAACGCTGGACCAGTGGCTGCCCCAAGCTACAGAGGCAGCAGCAGGAGAAAGCCCCAGGGTGCTGGTTCTCAGTTGGTCACATCCACTCCTCATTTTACTGCAAGAACTGCCATCAAGCCTCTGTCATAAGGAGTTTTGTTGCTGCAGCCCAGGATGCTTGGATGCCTAGCACAAAAGGACAAAAGGTGTTGGGTAAAGACACAGTTTTACTTGGTGTTAAGCTCAAGGCTAGAGCTGGGGTCTTACAAAGAAGAGGAAGCAAAGCAGTGTAATTGCTATAGGGAACAGAGATGTAGATCTGGGTTAACACAGAGTGAGGTGCTCAAAGATCTGACCCAGATCACAGTCAGGCAAAGTTTACTCCCCAGCTATAGAAAATTACTACAGAAATGCAATAAAACAAGGTTTTATTATAAGCCAAGGACAAGAATCACCAGATGCTCATGTCACCCAGCTCCTTTATTCTGAAACAAACAATTTAGGGGCTGCCTTATGTGGCACAAGGAAAAGGCATTCAGGACAGGTTTGAAAGACAGTGTTTGTTCCAGCAGTCAACATCTCCTCTTGAGTCCCTTTCATAAATCCCAAAAGCAAGGCAGAGAGGTAAAATGCAAACTCACCTGATCTTCCCCAGCGGTTCCACCTCTGGTAGAACTGGTCCCAGCTGGGATCCTACAGGATGTGTTGGGACAAGAAGTGGTGTGTGCACCAACACTGCTACTAGATATAGGTTGAAGGGCCCAAAATACATGTGCAGCCACCATAAGCCATGGGACCTTGTCCACTGCCCAGGGCAGGGTGGCCAGTCTCATTTAGCTCGGCAGCCTGGCATACCTCACCAGGCTTATTTGGTCGTGTGCCCTTCTCCCTCCTCAGCCGTACCCCCAGGGCCAGGTTTTCCTGCTTCACCCCAAACACTTATTTTTCTTATTTTAGAACAAACAGAGTTGCGTGTGTTTTGATTTCTAGAAAAAGGTTAGAGGGAGGTCAGAGCTGACATCTGGGCTGGAGATAACATTCCCGTTTAATTAGCAAACCCTGGATAATGAGGGCCTTCCTGTCCCATCCCCTTGCCCTGGTGTGGGAGATGGGAGACCCAGTAGAGGCTGGGGCACTAATGAGGCAGGAGAATACCCTGTAAGGCAGCATTCCATTTTCTAGTGTCCCCAGCCCAAGCTCATGGGGTGCTGATTGGTGCCTGTGGGCAACGGCTGGAGGCTGCCCCTCCTTCATCTTTGCGTGAGGACACCCTCTGCAGGCACCCAGCCTCTGCAGGCTCTTTTTCCAGGGCACTGGCCATGTCTTTCCAAAGTGCCGATGGTGCTGCCAGTCCCCTCCAAACCTATTGCCCGAGGAGAGCTCATTTGCTCTTTCTGCAAAGCAGGGATTATGGATTTAAATACCCTGGTGCTACAGGTCCTACCCGTGCTGCTGTGTGAGTGGCAAGAGGAGACACCAGCAGATATGATGTTGGTGGGAGACACAGATGAGATGCACAGCGAGGTCCGCAGAGCACAGCTGGGCTATCTGCTGCCCTCCCCTCAGACTAGGGAGCTGTACATTGGCAGTTCCATCCCTGCTCTCGGGAATCGGGTCATTTACCAGGGCAGCACAGCCCGCCGGGCTGACACGATGCAGCTGGTTGTGTGCAGCAGTATCACAAAGAGGAAACAGCCACGGCTGGAGTCAGCTTTGGCTGGGATGCTGAGCTGGGGAAGCAAAGGGCCAGAAGTCCTGGGGAGACCCAGTTTGTGAGGGTTCCTGCAATTTCTAGACATGTACCCCTGCAGCAGGACATGGAGGTGCTGGAATAAAGCCTGACTCAGCTGGGAGAGAGGCTCCCTGACTGAATCACCTCGAGCTCTGTGCCTTCCTGCAGCTCCCCTGCTGTGGGCTGACTCTATGCTTGCAAAACCCCATGAGATCAGGGGCGCAGGCAAGCGAGGCGGGGGCTGAACTGCAGCCAGGCACTCTCCAGGTGAGATTAAAACAGCAGGCACATCCGGTCCATGGAAAACCCCGGCTGACACCCCTCAGCAGAGCCGGTAACACACCAGGCTCTTGCCTTGTCAGCTCCATGGCAGGGGGATTTGCTGCCAGCAGCCTCAGATGCGTGTCCGCCCTTACCGGAAATGCCACAGCCTGTTGATTCCTTGGAGGGGACGTGACCATCATTCCTGACCTCAGTATAAAACCCCAGGGAGAGAAGGAAAAAAAAAAGGCAGGGAAACAAGGCTCAGCATGTAATGCTGGCAGAGCTCAGCCATCATGACCCCGGCTGCAAGCTGGAGAAGATGAAGCTGGGAACCGTGCCCTTGGGTCAGTCATGTGCTACTGGCCACCACAGGCTGGGCACAATGTCACAGAGAGGCACAGCATTGCGGGGGAGCAGCAGAACAGGGAGATGACAGCAGCCTAAGGAGTTTGCTTGCGGACATGGCCACATGATGCCAGCTTCCTTGCTGCAGGCTCCAGTGAGACCAGCAGTGACGGGTCCCTCATGTTCCCACATCCTTTCGTCTCAAGGGTGCTGCCAGCTTCTGCCTTCTGTGCAATGCCAGACAGATTAAGAAAACC